CAACAAGATGTGAGAGATTGAAGCAGTGATAAGACAGTCTCTGGTTTTGTAATCTGTGTCCGACCATCCCCTAGTAACTTGCACGGTAATCCCGAGCCAATGGTGAGACCGGTTAGCAGAGGAAATTAAAAGACCAGGCCAGGCGAAAGCACAACGTAACTCTGATAACTAAACAGTACTGAGGACCACGAAAACATGGCATCACTGAAAACGAGTGATCGACCAAATTTGGATGGTCTTGACAGCTTGCATTATTAACAAGGAGGGGGTAGCCGAACGTGAGTCTACTGCATCTGCAACCAAAGGGGCTTCGGTTGGTTTCAAATTCCTTAAGACTCCAGTCATATATGCAGTGATCGGTGCCAAAGTCTTCCGGGATGACACCTTTAGTGTCTCCTCTGTTGCAAACACAGTAAACGCAAATAGAGCATCAATAAGTGGAGCATCATTACTTGGCATGATGTCAGGTACAACAATTAGCCGACCTTGCACTTCAAAAATGTCCCCGACTATCATGTGCACTAATCCTTAAAAATCTACCAGCGTTACCTTGCGGGATAAGTTTTCAGAGGACAAGACCAGTGTAACACACTGTAGGGTTTGATGAACGTAAAAGCCAAACCCATAGACTTAGCAATAGTTACTCGTCCTCAGAATTAGGCACACTATGAAGAAACAAGAATTACTACAATGAAACTAAAATCGGCCATTGATATGGAACAATTGTTAATATCTGCAAGTGCACTACAACACGGGCCTTATAAGGTACGTACCTATGCTGACGACTTTTGAAACACATGCCAGTCATGAATAAGCATCTTGGATGGACACAGCAGGCCGAATTTTTCAAGCCCAATCTTTACTTATGGCGCGCCAGAACTTCCTTCTCACGATAGTCATGAGGCCGGTAATCACGAGTTGGAACAGTGGCGGTTCATTCATGAATCAATTTCCTAGGACAACGCTGTGGCATTATTGCTCAGAAGGCTACCTCGCACATAAAAGTATAGAGGAAGCGTACCAAGAATCCTAAAACTCATAATTCAGTCAGAGTAGACAGCCACGGAAGTGTTAGAACCTTGGCGGAGTCATCCTAAATGCCTTCCATCTGAACTTCGGTTATTAGCTTTTGAAGACTAGCAAAGACCAGATATGAGCCTACCTGAAAAAGCAAACCTACCAGTGATACCACATAAGCTTCAGTTTACAGCTCGGTCACGCAATTCTGCAGGACATCCAGACGAGGAATAGGATGTACCTTGGACAAACCAGTTTTCGAACGGCATGTCATCATCATCCCATCAAAAAGGAATATCGGCCGGTCCTCACAACGGTCGACATTCTAGCATTCTTGACTCATTTGGCTCCCTTTGGGCTCCTAGGAACACAGCAACTATGCTGTCTTTATAGCAATGCTCAAGACCATTTCGCCAAGTTGACCGAACTGAAGGACCGCCAAATTTCGAAGTCATGCGATCTCCTCGGTGTCACAGATACATGGTTGTATAGTGGAATGACCGAGTGTAGCTTTGCTGCACAGTATGCAACTTATACGAAAAAACAGGCTTACGAAAGAAAGATGGGTAATTTTGTATTACGGAAGCGACCGACAGTGCGACGCCCCTGAGGATTTGGACTTATAGTTTACAAATTTTCTTTGGTGCCGTCTGCATTTACATGGCAGGGACACCTGCCTTCTAGCTTTGGTATACCGCCTCCCTAAACTCTACACCGAAAATAGACTGCCACCTTGCGACAGCTTTAAGATGCACTCTAAAGCGAAGATATACTCACCTATTTCTCATGCGTATGACAAAAGTACATAATTTAGAAACCCCAGCTATAATCGGAGAACCATTCAAATCAAATCCGTAAGAGGTTATAACCAGTGTTCCAGTTTACAATCACGTCACTGTGCATAGGACAGGCAACAGACCATCTTTACTGGATCTTCTGTTCAGAAACAAGAAGTATATCATTGATGTATTGAGTATAGAATTCCCTCTGAGTCACAGTGATCATGCACGTATCAGTTTCGCTTTCATCTTCCATGCGGAATATCACCACCAGGAGAATGAGATGGTGTGCACCATTACGTGCTACGACCATTTAGCCCAGATCACCAGGGCCACAACCTGGCCGTTCCTCACTAAAGACTATCCGGAAGTCGCTTGACTTGAATTCGTCAGCAAATTCAATTAACTGGTTACGGATGCATCAGAGACAAGGGTATTCAATGGGACCAAAACCATTTCCTCCGCAATGGGCAGGACTCAAATTGGATGACTATGCGCAACGCAGCCTGCTGAGAGTACAACACTTTATCAATGATAGCACACTGGGACGAATACGAATCCAATGGTAAACATTGCACACAACTGGTCAGAGATGACAAAGTCGCATATCTGCAGAATATGGCGCAAGCTTTCAGGGCTAACAACAAATTGCTGGACAAATATATCAGTGGCCGTCGTAAGCTGAGGCAGGGATTTCCTCCGCTCCGGACGACTGGTGGTCCAACTAGAACAGCTGTAGAAGCGACCGACGCGTTTCCAACGCAGTATGCTCCCACATTTAGGAAAGTCTTACCATCAGGGCATCTTTCGTGTTTTGTTTTCCCGCATCCCGGACCCTCACACACCGCTTTTGCAACCTAAACATCATTGCCGTAGTTGACGTACCTAGGGAGGCACAGCTCCTTGGGAGTTGACGCCATGCGTCCAGAGACACAGGGAGCAGCAGCAAGACAGCCAGAAAAACCTTTGGCCCAGTTCTTTAAGAGATGCTTAGACCACAACCAGATTCCTGCGATGTGGAATCTTGCAATAGTAACTCAGATTCACAAAGGCGGATGCAAGACTGAGCCGCAAAACTACAACATTGGTGTGTTAGCAAGAAGCTTATAACATTATTACACAAATGTGACACGGCGTTCGTCGACAGCGTTCGTTCACAACGAAATACTTAATCGCACTTAATAGATGGACTGAGTCAGCCGATGCTGGAGAGGCTGTTGATTTGGCCTACTTGGATTTGTCGGAAGCATTTGATTGTTTATACCAGCGGATTCTTCTTTCCAAGCTCCATTATTACGGGATCGGTGACCCTATATTAAGCTAAATCGCAAACTTTGTCACTTAACGACAATTAGTGGTCAAAGTCCGGGGTACCTTACCTGAACCAATACTGGTCAGTTCTGGTGTGCCCCACGGCTCACTTCTAGGTACAATTTGCACGGAGTCATTTCAGATTTCCTGCTACTTGCTGACCATATCAAGATTTGTCGCCGGATTGAGGCGGATACCGCTCAAAATTTACTGCAATGTGATCTAGATATGGCAAATGGATGATCAACCCGACATTTGCAGCACAATAAAGTGGAGAAACACAAGATGTTCTCCATACGACACCACAAGACCTATTCCAGCAAATTGAGAACGAAAGTACAGCGGCAATCCTCGGTCGAATGCGACCTTGGCGTGCTTGTTCCGGAAATCCTGCGTTGTTCCAAGCAGTCCGCAAAGGCATCGAAGACTGGTAACCAACACCTCGGCATGTTACGACGGACGTTCGGACAAATAGACACTTCGATTTTCAGACGGGTGCTGAATGCCTAAGTTCGCACATATGTCGAATACGTAGTCCAACTCTGGCAGCTACTGCTGAAACACGACGTTACAGTACTGGACAAATATCAACGTCAATCTTCTAGAAATACCATTAGAATACACCACCTTCCATACGAGCAGATGCTGAAGTATTTGGGAGCATTCAGCGAGCGTTATTGCAGACTCCCAAAATACTTGAAAATCAGGACCAGAAATAAATTAAGGGTTAAGGATTATTTTCGGTAAACTCTCGTCAGACCCAAACGTTTACATAATGCTGACTGTGTCGGTTGGAATTGATTTCTGAGATGTCTGAACTAAATGCTGCTACAGACGGAAAGAAAAGTGTACAAAAGGTACATTAATACATAAACTTCAGCAGTCTAAATTAGACAGGTAAGGTTACAAATGGGAACTAAGTAACGATGTCAGTCGGCCATGGTAGTAGTGTCAGCCGTATGAATTGTTTATGTACACATAATTTCGGCTTCAGATGGTGGATGCAGATAGCCTCGGCAATAGACAAGTTTTGCTTTTGGAATCCTTGCGAAAGCGTTCAGGTAGACAGTAGATAATTTTAAAGTCATTCTCAAACTCAGTATGGTCACATTCGAGAAGGTGATACATAACTGAGCTGCCCGGGGACCTGAACAGTAAGCAAGAAAGCGGAAACCGATTACTTTTCTTGTATGTAGAAGTCATTCACAACTCGAACGGCTCATGTAGCAGAAAGGTACACAGAAAGCATACGTAGACTGTATAGTACACTAACTTTCACAGCGCAGTGCCTCTACAGCACAAAAGAAGTTTAAGCTGATCTCTTGCCTTCAGAATGCGCAGTATTTGCACTCCGGATACCGTCAACGAAGCACTACAGAGAATCAGCGACGGCCTTCTGAAAAATGCTTACCCCGATAAGTTTATCATGAAGCATATGAAAGAACCAATGCGAAAGCCACCTAGGAGCATTGCTCCCATGAAAGATCTTTTTATACAATTGTCATTTAAGGGCGATACTGCGGCTGATATGTTATCTCGACGCTTGAAAGATGTTGTTGAAAAAACTTATTTTATAGCTCGCTTGAGAAGTGTTTACCACAACATGCCAATGCTTGTAAAATCCTTGACAGATAGTCTGCCCTCGTCGACCTGTTCAATACTCGTTTATCAATACTCGTGCTCTTTTGGTGCACAATACTTGGGTCACACAACGAGACGCCCATCCCAGAGAAACTGCGAGGCATGGTTTTACAAAGGAGTAATGAGATCCCCAGACAACTCA